TGCAAACCTTTGCACTTTCTCTAGTTTCTTTACGTGCTTGACTAGGTGTGGGTTCCAAACTGGTGCCGCATACTCCAATATGGGCCTAACGTACATGGTGTACAGGGTCCTGAACGATTCCTTATTAAGATTTCAGAATGCTGTTCTGAGGTTTGCTAGGCGCCCATATGCTGCAGCCGTTATTTGGTTGATGTGCGCTTCAGGAGATGTGCCTGGTGTTATACTCGCCCCAAGATCTTTTTCCTTGAGTGAGGTTTGTAGTCTCTGGCCCCCTAGACTGTACTCCGTCTGCGGTCTTCTTTGCCCTTCCGCATTCTTCACGACTTTGCACTTGGTGGGGTTGAACTCCAGGAGCCAATTGCTGGACCAGGTCTGCAGCCTGTCCAGATCCCTTTGTAGTTTGCCTGGTCTTCGATCGAATGAATTCTTCTCATCAACTTCACGTCATCTGCAAACAGGGACACCTCGGAGTCTATTCCTTCCGTCATGTCGTTCACAAATACCAGAAACAGCACTGGTCCTAGGACTGACCCCTGTGGGACCCCGCTGGTCACAGGTGCCCACTCTGACACCTTGCCATGTACCATGACTCACTGCTGTCTTCCTGACAAGTATTCCCTGATCCATTGTAGTGCCTTCCCTGTTATCCTTGCTTGGTCCTCCAGTTTTGCACTAATCTCTCGTGTGGAACTGTCAAACGCCTTCTTGCAGTCCAAGAAAATGCAATCCACCCACCCCTCTCTCTCTCTTGTCTTACTGCTGTCACCATGTCATAGAACTCCAGTAGGTTTGTGACACAGGATTTCCCGTCCCTGAAACCATGTTGGCTGCTGTTGATGTGATCATTCCTTTCTAGGTGTTCCACCATTGTGTGTGTGGTGTGTATGTGTGGTATGTGTGTGTGTGTGTGGTGTGTGTATGTGGTGTGTGTATGTGGTGTGTGTATGTGGTGTGTGTATGTGGTGTGTGTATGTGTATGTGGTGTGTGTATGTGTGTGTGGTGTATGTGTGTGTGGTGTGTGTGTGTGTATGTGGGGTGTGTATGTGTGTGTGTGTGTGTGTGGTGTGTGTATGTGTGGTGTGTGTATGTGTGTGTGGGGTGTGTGTGTGCACGGGTGTGCGTGTATATGTTTGTACGCTCGTGTGCATGTGTGTCTATGCATGCACCCTCGTGTGTGTGTATGACCCACTTAATATTTGTATTTATAACTCATTACAATTGTGACTGGGTGTGGACGTGTCAGTGACTCATTACTGCGTAATTTGTTTATGATTGTAACCATGTATAGGAGTGTAAATGGTTCATTACTTTTGTAACATGTCATGATTGTGACCAGATCTGCCTGGAGTTCATTACCTTTTGTAACTAGTTCAGCTATCATAACTTTGGGGTCCAGTTCCTGGACCTATTATGTACCTCTAATATTTTGACTACCGCCCACAGGATGGGTATGGGGTGCATAATAAAGATATTAAACTAACACACTAACTCACTCTCTCTCACTCTCTCTCACTCTCACTCTCTCACTCTCACTCTCTCACACTCTCTCACACTCTCTCACACTCTCACTCTCTCACACTCTCACACTCTCTCACTCTCTCACACTCTCACACTCTCTCACTCTCTCACACTCTCTCACACTCTCTCACTCTCTCTCACTCTCACACTCTCTCACACTCACACTCTCTCACACTCTCTCACACTCCACTCTACACTCTCTCACATCATCTCTCTCACTCTCTTCTCACACTTCTCTCACCCCTCACTCTCTCACACTCTCACACTCTCTCACACTCTCTCACTCTCTCACTACTCTCTCTCACTCACTCTCTCACTCACTCTCACTCTCTCACTCTCTCACCTCTCTCACCTCTCTCACTCTCTCTCACTCTACTCTCTCACTCTCACTCTCTCACTCTCTCACTCTCTCACACTCTCACTCTCTCTCACACTCTCACTCTCTCTCACTCTCTCACATCACACTCACACTCTCTCACTCTCTCACACTCTCTCACTCTCCTCTCACTCTCTCACTCTCTCACTCTCTCACCTCTCACTCTCTCTCACACTCTCTCACTCTCTCTCACTCTCTCACACTCTCACACTCACACTCTCTCACTCTCTCACTCTCTCACACTCTCACTCTCACTCTCACTCTCTCTCTCTCTCTCTCTCTCTCTCTCTCTCTCTCTCTCTCTCTCTCTCTCTCTCTCTCTCTCTCCTCTCTTCGTGTTTTTCTCGCTTACCTCTCGTCCTACATTAAGACTACAAATATTTTAAGGTGAGTAATGAGTGTACTGTATATGCATTTTATCACTATTAGGTGCTTTAAGCATCATAGTATATTATGTGTGGGTGGGGGTGGCTAGGAGGGCTACCACACCTGACTTCTTACAATAAATACTACTCACTTTTTGCCCAACATTAATTAAGACAACAAATATTTTGAGGTAAATAATGATTATACTTTGTGTGTATTTTACTTAGTTTTTAATGCCTAGTTCTGTTGCTAACTTAATATTTGTACGTTAGTGGAAACTTGTTTTCTGGCATTTATATGCACTTATGAGTGGGAAAAAAATGACGTTCTGCTTTGTGGTGGTAGCCTGAAACCTAACATGCCATATAAGTGGGGCCCTACTGTACCTCCCTGGCCAGTGCATGAAATCACCATCGTCCTTTCTTCATTGACATTTAAAAGTTCGTCCTTTCTTCATTGACATTTAAAAGTTCCTCGAAATATTCCTGCCATCTTCCCAATCCCTCCAGTTCCCCATCTACTAACTCCCCTACTTTGTTTTTATCTGACAGAACCATTCATTCGCTAGGCTTTCTTAACCTGTTTATCTCGCTCCAAAATTTTTTTTTATTCTCGGCAAAATTTCTTGACAGTGCTGCTCTCTCTTTATCATTTGCTCTTCTTTTACACACTCACCACTCTCTTAACCTTTCTTTGACTACTTATACTCTGCCCTTCTTATATCACTTCTGCTTTGTAAAAACCTCTCATAAACTACCTTTTTCTCTTTTATCATACACTTTACTTGATCATTTCACCAGTTACTCCTCTTTCCTCCTGCCCCCACCCTCCTATAGCCACAAACTTCTGCCCTACATTCTAATACTGCATTTTTAACACTATCCCATCCCTCATCAACCCTGTCACTACCCATACTCGCATTAACCCACCTTTCTGCCAATACTTGCTTATATCTCACCCCAACTTCCTCCTCCTGTAGTTTATAAACTTTCACCTCTTACTTGCTGCTGCCATTTTTCTCTTGGCCCATCTACCTCTTACTCTTAACTGTAGCTACAACTAAGTAATGATCTGATATATCCGTTGTCCCTCTATAAACATGTACATCCTGAAGCCTACACATCAGTCTTTTCACCAATTCATAATCTAACAAAATAGCTTTGTTACGTGCTACATCATTCCTTGTTTACTTATTTATTCTCTTTTCATAAAGGAGGTTTTGTGGGCGAGGGGCTTGGACTTACAGCAAGTGTGTGTGTGTGTGTGTTCGATAGGAGTGAATGGAGACGAATGGTATTTAGGACCTTATGAGCTGCTGGAGTGTGAGCAGGGTAATATTTAGTGAAGGGATTCAGGGAAACCAGTTATTTTTATATAGCCGGACTTGAGTCCTGGAAATGGGAAGTACAATGCCTGCAATCTAAAGGAGGGGTTTGGGATATTGACGGTTTGGAGGGATGTGTTGCGTATCTATACATATATGCTTCTAAACTGTTGTATTCTGGGCACCTCTGCAAAAACAGTGATTATGTGTGTAAGGTGAAAGTGTTGAATGATGAAAGTATTTTCTTTTTGGGTCACCCTGCCTTGGTGGGAGACGGCCAACTTGTTAAAAAAAAAAAAAAAAAAAAAGTGTTATTACCAAACCTCTTTCTACACACAGTTCAATTAAAGGCTCCCAATTTTCATTTACCCCTGCTACCCTAGATTTACCTACTGCTCACTCCACAACATTTTTACCCACTTTAGCATTGATATCCCCAACCACAAATACTCTAATTTGCTTCAAAACTCCCCACGCACTCTCTCAGTATTTCCCAAGATCGGTCTGTCTCTGTCTCTGTCTCTCTGTCTGTCTGTCTCTCTCTGTCTCTCTGTCTGTCTCTCTGTCTCTGTCTCTCTCTCTCTGTCTCTGTCTCTCCGTCTCTCCGTCTCTGTCTGTCTCTCTCTGTCTCTGTCTCTGTCTCTGTCTCTCTCTCCTCCTCCAGGTGCATAAATGCTTACTGTAACCCACTTTTTACATCCAACCCTTATTTTACTCCACATAATCCTTGAATTTATACATTTATATTCCTTCTTTTCCTACCATAACTTATCCTTCAACATTACTGCTACTCCTTCCTTAGCTCTAACTCTTAGAAACCCCTAACCTAATCCTATTTATTTCTCCCCATTGAAACTCTTCCCCCTTCAACTTTGTTTCACTTAATGCCAGTACATCCAGCTTCTTTTCATCCACAATTATGTTTATCATTTGCACAACAACTACTCACATTCAAACATCCCACTTTGACGGTTATCTTCTTTTTAGTAAGCTGCTCGGGAAAAGGCGTTACTATCCCATTGCTCCCAGCATTTAGTTGACTTGTACAACATGCATGGCTTATGGAGGAAAGATTCTTATTCTGCTTCCCCATGGATATGAAAGGAAAAGCAATAAGAACAAGAACTATTAAGATAAAATCAAAGAAGACTCAGATTAATGTATATGCATGAACGTGTACATGTATGTGTTGTGTGACCTATGTGTAAGTTGAAGTAGCAAGACATACCTGAAATCTTGCATGTTTGAGACAAAAAAGACACCACCAATCCTACCTTCATGTAAGACAAATTCAGGCTTCCGTTTTACACTTGCCTGGCAGTACGGCAATACCTCCCTGAGCAATTGCTGTCCACCAACCTACTACCTATATATACCTATATATCTTGACAAATAATTAAAATTTTCTTTTTCAGTTTGTTTATCGACATCTGGACAGCTCTTATGTTCATCCCAGTAGGTTTGAAGAAGAAATTCCAAAGCTTCTGAAGCTTCTGAAGTATCCTGTTCAGATGTCAAAGTCATCTTTTATCACAGGTGACTTTCTTCTTTTTCTTTCCTATTATTAAATATTGACAATACTATGCTGCCTATTTCTTTCATTTTTATCTTTACCTTTCCATCATTGTTTCACTTGCTCGTATCACATCCGTAGCCCTTGACCAGAATGTGAGGAAATACTAAGAAAAATGAAGAAACTCAGAAAATCTGGCAGTTCAGAATCTAACTGCCATAGCAACAGATTTTGCATCATTTGTGTTGTCAGCAAGTGATGGAGCAGTTTAGTTATATAAACTAGATTTGAATTTCTTTAGCATTGAAAAACTAATAAGACGTCAGAATCACAAATGAAACTTGCTTAGATCACAACCTCATTGAAGTGTAAATACACAAGTATAAAATGTTTTGTTGTAACTCAAAACATTGGCAAACATAGTGGAATGTTTAGTAAGTGTAATAAAAAAAAATTTGACTAGAGAAGCAATATAACAAGAATAATGTTCTGGCTGATTTTGTGGCTAAAGTGTTATTGCAAATTGTGAAATAGGGCTACACTATTCTACAATGGTTCCTTTTAAAGCGACTTTGAAAACTATTTTATATCTTCACAACTATGTATATCAAGATTTTGTAAAGTAAAAGGACACAAGTGCAACTAATGTGACATTTTTATTGTAGCAACGTTTCGCTCTCCAGGAGCTTTATCAAGCCGTTACAAACGGTACATGGACACAGAGGGTATATATAGGCTCAGAGTGAGGTGCAATACTAGTGGTAGTAGTAGCAATAGTAGTGATATAAGTTGTAGTAGTAGTAATACAATATGGTAGAACAGTCAACTTGCACATGAGTAAAAGGATATAAAAGCTATTACTTGGGTAACATAGAATTAGGTTAGACAAATATTTATATAGGAGGCTGGATAGAGAAGGCCTGTTTCAATGTTCATTCTCTGTAATGTGCTTGTGTAGTATTAGCAGGAGAGACTGTGATGGCAGGGTTTACTGTTTTCTGGAGGATTCTTGCTAAGACTTCAGAGATGGTGAAGCTGCCTTTGTTTTGTTCAGTCGTATTAGAACAGCGATTAGTGATGATTCAAAGCACTTGCGTCTGCAGAAATTAGTTTCTTTGATCACTAATTGGGCGTCCCTGAATTTCATGAGATGATTGGTGAAATTTCGGTGTTGTACGCAGGCGTTGTTCAAGTTGTCGTGCCTACATGTATAAATGTGTTCATTGAGGTGGGTGTCAAGGTTTCTTGCTATTTCATTTACATAAATCTCGTCGTAGCCTCCACAGGGTATAGTGTAAACCCCTGAGTTGACTGGTTCATGGTGCTTTGATTTTGTCTTGGTTAGATCCTTTATTGAAGTGCTGGAAGCGATGGCGACTCTGGTGTTAGCCTGTGAAAGTACTTTAGAAACGTTCAGTATAACCTGGCTGTTGGGAAGAATTATAAGTTTGTTAGGAGTGGTGTTGGTGTGTGGAGAATTAATGATCTGAAGAGCTCTTTTCTTGCAGTCTTTGATGAAAAAGGAAGGAAAATGTAAATCAGTGAAGGTTTGGTGAATGCATGTACATTCCTCGTCAAGAAACTCAGGACTACAAAATCGGTATTATGCTCTTAGGAAAAACCCGACGATGATGCCTCTTTTGGTCTTAGTATCTTGACTGGAATAGAAGTGTGTGAGATCATTTTTATTTGTAGGTTTCTGGTAAACTTGAAATCTTAGGTTGTTGTCTACTTTGTGGATGAGGACGTCGAGGAAAGGTAGCTTGTCATTGGACTCTTCTAGTGTACACTGGATCGCCGGTTCAACTGTGTTGAGCCTTGCCTGAAGATTCCGTACATCAAAACGTTTGGGAGTTATTACGAGGACGCCGTCCACGTAGCGTAACCAAGTGATGCTTGAAGGGATGATGTTGGCGAAGTGTTCGGACTCTAGATGTTCCATGTTTACCTGGAGTTTACCTGGAGAGAGTTCCGGGGGTCAACGCCCCCGCGGCCCGGTCTGAGACCAGGCCTCCTGGTGGATCAGAGCCTGATCAACCAGGCTGTTGCTGCTGGCTGCACGCAAACCAACATACGAGCCACAGCCCGGCTGATCCGGAACTGACTTTAGGTGCTTGTCCAGTGCCAGCTTGAAGACTGCCAGGGGTCTGTTGGTAATCCCCCTTATGTGTGCTGGGAGGCAGTTGAACAGTCTCGGGGCCCCTGACACTTATTGTATGGTCTCTTAACGTGCTAGTGACACCCCTGCTTTTCATTGGGGGGATGGTGCATCGTCTGCCAAGTCTTTTGCTTTCGTAGTGAGTGATTTTCGTGTGCAAGTTCGGTACTAGTCCCTCTAGGATTTTCCAGGTGTATATAATCATGTATCTCTCCCTCCTGCGTTCCAGGGAATACAGGTTTAGGAACCTCAAGCGCTCCCAATAATTGAGGTGTTTTATCTCCGTTATGCGCGCCGTGAAAGTTCTCTGTACATTTTCTAGGTCGGCAATTTCACCTGCCTTGAAAGGTGCTGTTAGTGTGCAGCAATATTCCAGCCTAGATAGAACAAGTGACCTGAAGAGTGTCATCATGGGCTTGGCCTCCCTAGTTTTGAAGGTTCTCATTATCCATCCTGTCATTTTTCTAGCAGATGCGATTGATACAATGTTATGGTCCTTGAAGGTGAGATCCTCCGACATGATCACTCCCAGGTCTTTGACGTTGGTGTTTCGCTCTATCTTGTGGCCAGAATTTGTTTTGTACTCTGATGAAGATTTAATTTCCTCATGTTTACCATATCTGAGTAATTGAAATTTCTCATCGTTGAACTTCATATTGTTTTCTGCAGCCCACTGAAAGATTTGGTTGATGTCTGCCTGGAGCTTTGCAGTGTCTGCAATGGAAGACACTGTCAAGTTGGCTAAGACGGCATTGGTGGGGGACCCCATTCCCATGCCGTAGGTTTGTTTGTAGAGCTTGTTATTGAAAGAAAAATAGTTGAAATTAACACAGAGTTCAGTCAAGTCAACAAAATCTCCAGGAGGTAGAGGAATATTAAGGGAGGGGTGAGCCTTTTTCCAGTTTCAGGAAATTAAAATTGAAAAATTGTGGAAAAAAAATTTTTCTTGTTGAAAAATAGTACAAAATTCTGACATTTTGATGTAATCTGCTTATTTCTATTTTATTTCTAAGTATGTTTTTCATTAAATGTATATTTTTTGTCGCTGCTGTCAGCAAAAGTACATGTTGGCAATTAGTGTTTTTTTTTTTTTTCTCCAAAAATTATGATTTTTATGATTGTTTCATTGTTAATACTCTACATTACTACTAAAGTCACTTTCAGACTTCACAATGAGGCAGCCATTAATAACTTGACAGCAGCAGTGACAAACATTGACTGGCACACTGAGCTAGAAATCTATACAGATATTGACGAATGTATTAATAATTTTCTAAAAAAGACCCAATACCTTTATAACAAGCACTGCCCCCAAAAAACTAAACAGATGACAGCTAAGAGACTGAACAGTCCCTGGCTAACACCCAGCATCCTCAAATCCATAAATACAAAGCACCTATACGAAAAACAGTACAGAATGGGTCACATAACCAGAGACCAAACAAAACGTTACTTGTCAATCCTAACCAGCCTGATAAGAAGGGCTAAAAAATTATTAGGAGAACAGATTATCCAACTTACAAGGTGATATAAAAAAGACCTGGAAAACGCTCTCAGCAATTCTAGGAACAAAAAAGATATCACGAAATAGCAAAATTGAATTAAGAAAACCAGATGAACCCCAACTCCCAACTGAAACAGCGAACAGACTCAATAATTTCTTCTCCACTATAGGAAAAAAACCTTGCCAATAAAATCCCAGGCTCAGATACCCCACCCAATGACTATCTCACTGGCAACTACCCGAACACACTGTTCCTAGCTCCGACTAACCCTACTGAGGTCTCCCTTATTATCAACACACTAAAAAAACAAGACAAGAGATTTAAATACCTTACCACCCTTTATATACAAGAAAGCATCACAAGTACTATCACCAATCATTGCAGCACTCTCTAACAAATCCATAGAATCCTCTACCTTCCCAACAGTTCTCAAAATAGCAAGGGTCACCCCTATCCATAAAGGAGGAGACCAAACGGACTTGAATAATTATAGGCCAATATCCAACTTACACCCTCTCTAAAATCTTCGAAAAATTAATTCATAAGTGAATCTATTCCTACCTCATCTCCCACAACCTACTCAACATCTGTCAGTTTGGGTTCAGGCCTAATAAAAATACTAATGATGCTATTATACACATGCTAGAACACACATACACTGCAATAGAGAAAAAAGAAGTCCCACTGGGGATATTCATAGACATACGTAAAGCTTTTGATACAGTTGACCATGACTTGCTCCATATAAAATTGTCGCACTATGGTATAAGAGGGCACTCCCTCAACTACCTAAAGTCTTACCTCAGTAACAGAAGCCAATATGTGTACACAAACGGGGCAAACTCTTCAGCATAGCCAATTACAGTTGGTGTCCCACAGGGAAGTGTCCTAGGCCCTCTTCTTTTTCTCATATACATAAATGACCTACCAAATGCATCGCAACTACTCAAACCCACACTATTTGCAGATGACACTACATAAGTCTTCTCTCACCCGAGCCCAGTCATGCTAGCCAATACTGTAAATACCGAATTACAGAAAATATCTACCTGGATGAGGACTAACAAACTTACTCTAAACATTGACAAAAGCTACTTCATTCAGTTAGGTAACAGAGCTACAGACTTCCCTCTTAACATAAAGGTAAACAGATTGTCTATCACAAAACTCAGAGGGAAAATTCTTAGGAATCCACCTTGATAATAGACTCAAATTTCAAACACATATACAACAAATTTCCAAAAAAAATTTCCAAGACCGTAGGCATACTATCGAAGATACGGTACTATGTTCCACAGTCAGCCCTTCTGGCCCTATATCACTCACTTATTTACCCCTATCTCACCTATGGAATTTGTGC